CGACGAGTGGCGGTGCGCAGGGGCAGACGAGCGGCGGGGGTGGACGGGCGGTGGGCGGCGGTGGAGGAGGTGGGGATGATGGAGACCGGGGTGGGGAGGTTCCGGGGGCCGAGCATGGCGGCGCTGCTTGTGGAGATGTGGCAGCGCTGATGACTCCGACTCCAATGGCACCGATGACGACGAGGAGGAGGGATCCGAGGCGAGCTCCTCCAGCGAGGAGGAGAAGGGGCGGCGGCGAGAGAGGAGGATTGGGTACTACGAGGGCACTGCCGACGACGACGATGACGATGGTTGCTCCCCGTGGGGCGGCGCCGTGGTGCGGACGTGGCAGGATCTCCCTTGCCGCATCTCCGGCGGTGCGAGGCTGCTTGCGCCGGGGACCTCCTCCGTCGCAGCCGGCCGCGGAGGTGCCGGTGGTCCTCGGCTGGAGCTGCGACCACCCCCACCCCCACGCCGACGAGCACGCCGCCCGCCGCTGTCGCGACCTCCCCAAGTGAGACGTCATGGAATCGCCATGTGAGACCACCGTCCGCCCCCGCACGCCGTCCGCCTATCCGCCGCCGCCCTTCACCAGCCACGCCCGCCGCTGCCGCCACCCGTGTGTGAGAGAGAAAGGAAGAGTATGAGAGAGAAGAGAGATAGGAAGAGTGGAAGAGCATGACAGGTGGGGTCCCATATCTTTTTATAAATAGAATGTTGACTGGACTGTCACGTGTACGCCACGTAGATCAAAACCACCGCGGATTGGGTTGGGGGGGTAATTCGTCCGGTTTGCATAGTTGGGGGTGAAGAATGTTTTGTTTTGTGGTTTACGGGGGTAATTCAGTTTTAAGACAGAGGAAGATAATACTACTAGTACTATATAGTATCATCAACTCCATCGTTTGCTTTGCAGCAGCTAAAATTTTGAATCCTAATTTTAGGATTGATTTTGATGCTTTTCATAGTAATTTATTTTTCAGTATTGAACACATTTATAAAAAAAGTTAAACTTCATTGCTTTTATTAATCTAATTAATCAAAATAAGTATAAATACTAGTGTATAAAAGTTATATTAGTATAATTACATTTTAATGTGCTTTTCACACTATTGATTTTATAGATGCAAATAATATATTTTATGAGAAAGTTCATAGATCTTGAAGACCCTTTTCACAATACTCTATCATTCCCTAAATATTTGACGCCGTTGATGTTTTCAAACATGTTTTACCGTTTGTCTTATTCAAAAAACTTTTGTGAAATATGTAAAACTATATGTATACATAAAAGTATATTTAACAATAAATCAAATAATAAGACGGTCAAATATGTTTAAAAAAGTATGTCAAATATTTAGGGACGGCGGGAGTATAATATATCATGTCACTAAACTGAGGTAATACCCCATGGTATAGGCTTTGCAAACGGGGAGCGTATCCTATGCACACAGGCCCTTGCGTATACACACTGTGTACACCAACTAAAAATTATCACAAAAAATTCTAGAAAACTTCCGATAGTATTGCATCTACGTGCAAAGTCGCATATTCAAATTTATTCTACACAGAGAGTAAAAAAAGACAAAATTCTGACATAATTACAACCTTAAAATTGCCAGATTTTTTGTTTTTTTGTTACGGCCAAAATATAATGAATTTGAGGTTAAGATTTTAACCCTAGGTGTAATACTATTGAAAGTACATCTATGAATTTTTCTAGATTTTTTTGGTGTTATCTGTTAGTTGCTGTGCACGTGTGTACACGTGAGGGCTTATGTGTACCGGATATGTTGCCTTGCAAACGTGTGATATAGATATCAGGCTAGTGGAGCAGGGCTCGTCAGCGAAGTTGCCATAAAACTTCGTTGTTTCACATTAACAAATAATCAATGTAGTTAGATCTGTCCAGGCTTTAGAATTTTCCTGGCTTTTCCATTGTATCAGGCCAAAAAATTTACAATAAACAAAGCCAGGATGGAGTGAATTTTATATGATATTTTAAAACTAATTAATTCTGTGTAGAAAAACATCAAGAAGTATCAAGTATGCTTTCGATTGATATTGGTCAACATTTTTCATAAGTCTCTCCTTTATTTGATCCAGCTTAATTTGCACTAATTTTAGAGGATATTAGTTTGGCTGTAGAAAATACTGAACTAACCATTTAGACCTGTTTTTTAGAACACAAGAAATCTAGATTAATAGTAATTTTGTAGAATTTTAATCCGATATTTTTTTATCTGGTCCTTTAGCTTGTAAGAAAGGATTGGAGCTTTCTAAATCTTATGAAATTACAAGGAAAAGCTCAATGCATATAAATCTTTGAGAAAGTTTAACAAAAGCTTCAATATTTTAGACGAGCCTATCTCTAATCCAATTTTTTTGTTTTTCCTAAGATCTAATTAAACGATTATTTTTTGTGTATTGAAAAAAAGCTTTTTTTTTCATTTGCATTCCTATCGAAATCATGTTTTTCCCGCGAAAGGGCATGTAGTCTAGTGGTTACAAGAGCCTCAATAGCACCTTAGATCTTAGGTTCGTCTCTCCATGGGAGTAAATTTTTCAGAATTTAACGGCATCGTGTTTTTAATGGTAGGTGGCATACCCGTCGACAACGAGGATTTAATGGCATTGTGCCTTTAGTGGTAGGCGATGTACCCGTGGATAGCGAGACGCCTGTGGTGACTTCGTCAATCTTTAGGATTTGCCGGCTCAGTCTTCGAAGAGCTTATAGGGGTAGAGTTTGCGTGCGTGCTTTGTGAGTGTCTGCGTTGTACTGTGTTATTTAAAAAAATGTTTTTTTTTCCTCATGTTCCTTCATTTTCTCAAACCTAGGTACATTTCACAAGAGCCCTTTATCACTAGAAACTCAGTTTCATCGCGTGTTCTTCACATATCAAAATTTAAATTAATTTTAGAGGTGATTTTAATCTTTTTTGTTAGTGTACTACATTTACTGTTTTGTAATCAGGAGGAAAAAAAATGATTGTGTGTCCTAACGCTTAATTAGTACTACTCTGCTTAAGTGATTAGGGATGAGAAAGAAAAAAGAAACAAGGTTTGAGAGCTCGTGAACTTAAGCTTAGCTGCTCCAAATCACACTTTCTCCTTCCTCCGTTTTGCACTTGACAAGCTCACCCCGACCTTGCCCTCCGCCGCCCGCACCCCACCCCGTAAGCGGAGGCCCCGCGCCGCCGGCTCAACCTCTCACCGGAGCTGGCCCTCGCCGGTGGAAGCCCGGGGCTGCGCCGTCGCCGGCCGCGTACGTCCGGGATGGGCCCGAAACGGCGGCGGAAGGGGAAAAAGAAAGTGGGTGGTGCTGCTGCGGCAGCAGCGGGGGAGGAGGCCGCGGCGGCGCGGGACGAAGACGCAGCGGGGCCGAGCCATGCCGCCGCCGGAGAAGCGTCGTCGGGTGCAGGCGGTGGCGCCGACGGTGGGAGCCCAGCATCACGCGCCGCGTCGCCGCCGACGACCGCGGCGGGTGGCCAAGGCGGAGGAGGGCCCGTCTCGGGAGGAGGAGGAAGCGCGCCAGGCGGGGCGGAGACGGCGCAGAGGCAGGGCGCGCCACCAGCGGCAGTGACGTCGGTGCAGGGCGCGCCGCGCGCACCAGCGTCGACGGCGGCGACTGTGCCGCAGGGCTCGCCACGACGCACGGTGGCTGCGCAGAGCGCACCAAGTGGCGCGGCGGCGATGGCGCAGAGCGCGCCGGGTGGGTCAGCGACGGGGCAGACGGCGACGGCGCAGAGCTCGCCACGCGCCGCGACGAGCACCCAGGTAATGAAAGTTGCAACTTTTATTTCATTTAGAGGATTTTCGCGGGCAGTGGCAAAGCCACAGGGCGGACGAGCTGTGGCCTCGCCACCCCCAACATTTTTTTTTTGTCTAGATTAGCTAATTAGCAAACCATGTAAATTCTCAAAGCTCTAGTGTATTAGGCCCAGGGTTGGAAATTTCGGACTGAAATTTTCGAAATTCGGTGACCCCCGATACGATATTAATTCGGCCGAAATTTTTTAATTTTTCAATTTTTTCATGAATTTGGATAATATTTGTTCAAATTTAACTAAATTTTGTTCAAAATTTTGGAAATTTCGGACCGAAATTTCTGAAATTTCAGGATTTCGGTGACCCCTGATAGAAACACTTGAACCGACAGAGTGAACCCTGATTAGGCCACCTCCAAATTCCAATGCAGCTCTAGCATAAGTACTTTTAAGATACAGCTAGAGAAGTATATTCTTTTGTATTTCAAAACTGCCATAACAAATATGTAATATCTCAATATGTTTTAGTATTCAATATATGCTATCATATTTTTTGGCAACCATCTATTTGTCAAGTAATTGATTTTTGTTTCTTATCTATTAATCACTTTTTTTAACACAGATCAACATTAACAACTCACACTTATATTTTTTTTCTTGTGGTAAGCGAATAATGTTCTAACCTACAAGTTAAAAGGAATATGCTCTTCTAAAAAGGAAATTCTTGATGGTGTAAAACTAGAAATTATGATTTATATATGCATAGTAATGAACATAGATTAATCTAGAATAAAAAAAACATAAGCTAAAAGTTACACTTTGTTTATATTACCATTGTAGTATTCTATATTTTTAAATATAGTGAATGACTTGTGCAGTAGATATTTAACAGATAAGAAGAAATCATGTAACTAATACTCCCTCCGTTTCACATTATAAGTCTTTTGACTGTTTTAAGTTTATAGAAAAATATAGAAGTATTTTCAACACTAAACGAACATATTATCTAAATATATTCAATGTTCGATTTGATGAAACTAATTTGGTATTTTAGATGTTGCTAATTTTTTCTATAAATTTAATCAAACTTAACTATATTTGACTAGAAAAAAAGTCAAACGACTTATAATATGAAATGGAGGGAGTATATAGCAAAACTGTACTTTTTTTTTGCCCCCCCCTCCCTCCTCATGTTTAAATATTGGATTTGCCACTGAATTCGGGAGTTTGATTTTCAGGCACTAATGAATGAGGGATTTCTACATCTGGACAAGAGTGTTAGCAACAACTTGGAGGAGGAAGGTCCTGCTTTTGGGGATGCACAGCGGCGTAAGAAGGCAATTGGGGTTGACAACGATGACAGTAATCGAGACGACGCTGATGGAGGACGAGACCCCAACAAGTCTCTTTCATCAGAAATTGTTCTGTCATGGACAATCCAGGATATCTTATTGGATGATGAGGCACACAAAAGCAAGGTATGATATTAATTTGCTTGGGTGTTTTAAATAAAGAACCTTCTGCATGTTGATTACTCGATCATGGTAATTAAGTAATAAAAATAGCACAATAACTGTAGCTAGCTTATTTTAATCTTGATTTTCTGCTCCATGTACATTTCTTAAATGACACACAATAATTGAACAATTACTTAAATCCTTGTTATTTAGTTTCTCATCAACAATTAATTACTTAGTTCTATCAACAATTACACAAAGGAAGTCTCCTTGAATGGATGAATAGAATTGATCTTCCTTTTGTATTATTAGAATAGACATTTATGTAGTTCTTCATTTACTAATTCGTTTTAAAAAATATTCAAAATATATTGTTACACAGGTGGTGAAAATTCCTACTCATTTTAAAGGTGTTGATGAATATTTGGGTCTATATTCACAATTTATATTAGAAGAGACCTGGTCCAATCTTAAAGTCTCATTGCAAAATTTGACCTCATCCGCATATTATGATATCAATAATATGTTAAGATGTGAATCCTCTGGAGTATTTTTCGTTGATATCAATCTCAAAAAGATTGAATTGAAGTCTACTCATTCTTATCGGGTGGCTCAAGATGGTGATGTATTTCTATTCAGTAGTCATCCTCACTCTCATGATTTTGATTCTTCATTGGATTTCCTTGGTATAGCATTTAATACAAGTCAGTGCACAAGCTTTCACAGAGGGTTTAAGGTGCTAGTGTCAGATCAAAATTGCACACTTTATTGTGAAGAAAATGGTAAATTTGGCATATTTCTCATCAATATTATGGATGCTTTGAAAGCATGGAGTGTGTTCAATTTGGACAAAACAGAAGACAACTGTTCTGGCATCAAATCAATGTTGAACTTTTCTGAAATGGTAAGAGAATAAAATAAAAAATTTACTCATGTTTTTTGTTTGCACTTTATCTTATTTTTGCTTTGTGTGATTTATTGGTTTTGTAGGCTAAGACCGATTGCAAAATGTGTGATATGTCGTTTGACTATGAGAAAATTAAGCTGAGTCATCTGAATCAACAACAGTTATATTCTCTGAAGTCCATTATTTCAGCAGTCCATTGTAGATCTAACAAACATATAGAGCTCATACAAGGTCCTCCAGGGTCTGGGAAAACAGAAATTACAATTGCTTTGCTTCAAGTCTTGCATCACATGAATTTGAAAGTTCTGTTATGTGCTCCAAAGACAAATATTGTCAAGTTTTTGACGAATCTTGATAAATGCCTATTCCCTCTAGAAGATGCTCTTGTGCTTGATAATCTAGATAGCACAGAATTAGCGAAAGAATTTCAGAGACTTTGCTTGTGTCATAGGTCTCAAGATTTTTTAGTGGGTATAACATTGTTTAAAAAATGGTTGCGTGAAATGTTTGTGCTACTTAATCTAGATCCATACTGCACTGAAAAATGTGATCATGAGCCCACAAGAATCAGATGTAGCACCAATAGCCTTCTCGTGTTCACATTGAGTTCATTCAAGGAGAAGTTTACCAAGCTTCTCATGAGAAAAGAATGGTTGACAAATCTGAAAGAAAGATTTTCAGAAATCTATTTGTCTGCTGATATTGCCAATGACATAACAAACTTGTTGAGCTTGTTGAAGGATTTTGAGGATTTATTATGTCATGAGAGGTTACAGGACAAACGTGTCCAATGGACATTTGGGTTAAGTTCAGTTCCTTGTAAATTGGGTGGAAATTCTGCTGCAAGAAAACTGAATGATTTAAGGCTGCAATATGTGGATTTCATTCAAAGATTCAGAAGCTCACTCAAATTACCAAAGTTGGAGGAAAGGAAATCTCTTGAGGACTTCTGCATCAAACATGCTAAGGTCATCATTTCTACAACTCAGTCAACTTTTCGGCTCCATGAAGCAGCTATGGAACCAATCAATTTATTCATAGTAGATGACGCAGCCAAAATCAATGAGTGTGATCTCATTATTCCATTGCGCCTGCCAGTGACACACATTTTGATGCTAGGCGACGACTTCAATTTGCAGCCAAGCAAGGTAATCTTTTCTTTCTGATTTTCTAGTGTATTCGTTTACATGACTAAACAATATTAATGCTAGCTGATGCAAATGATATCTTTTATTAATGAAATGGCTAGGTATGGGAAAATGCCAGGTTTTCTATGAATCCTTTCAAAAGATTGCTCAATTTGGGATTTCGGAAGCATATGCTCACTGAGCAGTATGCAATTCATCCATCAATCTGGCAGTTCCCCAATGAGAAATTTTATGAAGGGAGAATCACAAATGGCGCAACTGTTGTTTCTCCTGAGTACAACAAACAATTCAAAGGTCTTAAGTTTCCCAATTATTGCTTTATTGATGTCACTGGAACAGATGGGCCTAGCTGCAAAAACACCATTGAGCTTGCCACAATCCAATACATGCTTAAGATTATTTCCCAAGGTATGTCTTCTAGATAGCTGTCACTTGCTGTAGTTGTTTGATGCTGTTTTTGCAGCAATGCTATAAAGACCTTAATTTACTGCTTTCTTTTAAAAAATATTCAGGTCTGGAAGATACTGAAGTGATTGATGTTGGTGTCCTGTGTCTGTGTGGCAGCTATGTTGGTGGAATCAAAAGTTCCCTGGGTAAAAAATATGCTACTCACAATAAAATCAATGTGCACATTGAGTCTGCTGATAGTTTTGAAGGAGAAACTTATCATTTGGTTATTCTATCAATGCTTTTCAAAGATGAGAACACGATTCTTCAGATTGAAAAGATCAATGCTGCACTTACCAGAGCAAGGTTCGTCAAAAAGATTGAATTCAAAATTTGATTTGGCTGTATATTTTACTGTTGCTTCTAATAACACCTATATATATTGGCTGCATTTTTCCTTTCATGTAGACACTGTTTGTGGATGTTTGGTGAAGTTGATAGTGTATCTGACAGAGGGGGAATCTTTGCAGAATTAGTTCATGATGTGATAGAGCGAAAGTGTATCTTGAAATGGAACACTATCACTACAATTCAATCAAAATATGCACTCGAATCTGATAATTTCCATGGTTCTAGCTCTGCAAGTTCAAATGAAACCATACACCAGGTAAAGTTTATATACTGTACATTACCTTAAAAAAAGTTTATATACTGTAAAAGAAAAGGAAACTTATTCTTTTTTTTCCTAAAAGAAAGATATCCGTTAGAAGAAATTTCGGTTTGTTTTCATGGCAGTTGCAATGCAGCATGAAAGAAGTGTTAAAATTTTGTGTTACCGATTTTTTCTTATTATGATGTTAAAAAATCTTTTCTTTTCAAAGAGCCAGGGGAAACTTTAATTTTTACCCTCTGATTGTATCCCAGCCCTGCGTCCAATGATGCGCAAAACCGCAAATTGTATTTTTCTGATGTGTAATATGAAACCAGATTATGCTAATTTATTTGCGAGAGTTGTTTAAAATAAGTTTTTACACACATTACTCTCAGCATAATTTATCATCTAGAATGATAATATGTAACAATTTCCATCAAAAGTAGTGTAATAGTGACTTATTTATTTTGCATTATATTTTAGGTATGCACAGAATTCACATGGTCTGGGAGACCTAAGAGGACAAAATATATCTTAGCACCTCTGCGTGACCAAGGAAATTCTGGTACACATGAAGTATCTTGAAATTCTTCTTTGCTGTTGTTTAGTTGTTATTTGATTCCACATCCACATGCAAAGATTTTACAGTTGGGTCATCTTACTCCTAACAGATACATGCACAATGCATTCATGTTTGGGAGCAATGGAGTCTATGTACAAACACCAGTATGCTTGTTTGGAACCACCACAGGACTTCAGTTGGATTTTATCCACTGATAATTTGAAGGAAGAATACGAGAATGTTGTTGCCAAAGAAATTGGATCTGAGGAAATAGAGAAAAAGGGCAAACATCGACTTGCTACTGTACTGGAAATTCTAAAAGAACCTGGTGTCCTGGGCAGTAGAAAGCAACAACCTGAGGTAATATCTGTTTTAGATGTATCATGTCATGTGTTGTTTGATAGGATAAAGTGTGCCTTTATACTCATTTTATTTTAGTTGTTACTTTGAAAATTACAAGCACTCTTGGATCAAGTACAGTAGCACTACTTCATCTGTTTATGTTCATAAATTTTGCAAATAGAAAATATGCACTAGTTGATGACTATGGATGTATTTGGTTGCTTGCATGCCCTAGCCAGGCTCGTACTATTGTATTTAACATATCCTTATGCCCTGCTTTCTGAGTTACAAGCCACCCCATGATTTTTAGAAATAAAAGTAATGCAACCTAAACGGAGGAACATATGTAAGGTTTAGTGAGGTTACAAAACTGAAACTCATGAGTTTAATTAGTTGGCATGCCATCAGCATTCAGCCATTTGTTTTTCTCCTGGACAAAAATACCTCACAAGAATATCCTGCACACAATTCTATTATAACACCAATTCCACATTTTGTCAGTAAAAAAATACACATTTCCGGTGTTCTTGAAACAATTTAATGTCATATCAGGAAAATGCAAAACCTTGCATGAACAATTTCTTTCTGTCACACGAAGATGTCCTTCTCTGTCGACCAATTTCTGATCAATATCGTACTCTAAGTATCCGGCGCTTCAGTGGCTGTTCCTCATGGTTGTCCTGGAAAATTCAGTGGAATTAAAGTTGAAACCTTCAAGATTGGACCAATGTTCCAGTAAGGTTTGGAAGCATAATATATATGATGGGCATCTGATTTTAAACTGTCCTCGTAGTCATATATTAGTGAATCTGCCAAAACAAAGTAACCTTGGAAACTATTTAAACATTTTTTTCATTTTTCATATCTAGTGTTTGCGCTTTGGTCAAGGACTTGAGGTTGTAGTACCTCTTCGATACAGTTTTCAGTATGATCAGTCCCATCTTACTGCACTTCTTGTCCATATAGATAGATATAGAATCAGTAGGGTTGTAATTCTTAGGCCTGACAATATTGTTCATGATTTGCAGGTTGTAAGTAATTTCAAAATCAAATCCCACTCTCAACTTCCCATCAAGGAGGACCAAGAGATAAAAACCGTCTTTGATACTGTCAAGGATGGAAAAATTCTAGTGGGACATTTTCACATGTCGGAAAACTTCTTCTCCTTGAGACCAGGGGAGATTTACCACTACGACCGACAGAAGCCCTACCTTAATCCTGTGTCTTCTTTACAGGCTTCTCATGCAGTGATGATAATTGGTTCAGGGGTGACCATGACAAAGGTGAAGAAGAGAATACAGTGCGCTATCCATCTGAGCCTACAGAATAGCGCGGGCAGACTGGTTGGCGAGAATGGTTGTGGTTACGTCGGGTTGGAATCTATACGAGGCCTGTATCAACTCGATATTTGAAACAGTGCTACTTCCCTAACTAGCTGCTGCTCCTGCTACTTTTAATATATATACGTTGCAAACTTGAATTGTAGCCTGATTCAAGCATCTTTTTGTGGCCAGAGCTTGCTCTTTCCTGAGGTTTTGGTGCTCTTTCTGGAGTTTAATTTGTATATGTATCACATTGGCAGTGAACTTGAATTGTTCCTGGGTCAAGCTGCTTCATTTCTGTAGACTGTAGCTGCCTATTTCAATGCACCAATACAGGACATGTTTCTTTTACCTTTTTCCAAGCTTTACTCCTGGAACGTTCCTCTATATGGTTATTGTGGTAAACTTTGTTACTTTTTGGGGAGTGGCATATGATCAGATTATATATGATGCATTGTCGGGGGTTTGCTTTTATTTTGGCATATTTTTGTTCATATCTGTTGTGGTCGACAATGCAGGATTGTCTTCATAGTAGAACAAATCATATTTTTTGTACCAAAAAACCATGGTTGTTCTGGATTCTAAAATGTTAATCACTAGTAGTGTAGACGGTTGGTAACCTATTTACACGTGCGTTTTTTTTAACTGCCTACAACCAAGTGCCCGTAGAAATGGAGGATTTGTGTTGCGGAATTCCAGACTACCCGTGGAAATCAATTTGCACGGGTGGTCCCTTGAGAGTAGCCTGTGAAAATGAATTTTTAGTCGGTAACCCATTTACAGAGGCATTTTTCGCTTGCAACAAAGGCCTATAAAAGTAGAGGATTTGTGTGGGCAGAATTCCAAACTGCCTGCGAAAATATTTTTTTTTATTTTTACCTATGTAAAAAATGTTATGTATCTGAGTAGGCATCTATACAATTAAGGTCACACGATTTTATGTGCAAAATATGTGCGCACGCTGTATATATGATTCGAAGCCTATAACTCTCACTTAGCGCGTAGCCTCCTTATCATCTCAACTATGAAGTAATATGCGACCGTAAGGTGGATGGTATTCTTTTGACTTGACATCTCTTAAAACTTGTAACACATATTTTGTATTCTAAATGACATCGAATAAATAAGATCGTCAACTACAATTATAGATTGCGTCGAGCCATAGAACTTTGATATAGAGCATATCTCGCTCATTTGAAAAACTCGAAAGATCTCATTAAGAGCTACAATTTTCATATTGAGCGTGTCACCATCTAACTTTATATGAAAGGGTTGCGACTATTTTATTCCATTGGTGCTCACATATTTAGCATGGTTCTTAAAGAATACTGGCTATAAAATTATTTTAAGGGTGGTTCGTTCAGAAATCCACCTGCATTTTTTTGTTATGACGAATACCTTGTAAAAACAGATACTATATATGAGCTTAACGAATATTTAGGTACATAAATGGTGTGTCATATATCTATATCTATATATATCTATACTCCCTCCGTACTCGTAAAGAAAGTCGTTTATAATAATGTTTAAGTCAAACCTTGGGAATATAAATCATAAATAACTCTCAAGCTGTTGAGTTTGAAAATGTAAAAATTATATGAATAGATTTGTCTTGAAAAATATTTTTATAAAAGTATATATATATATATATATATATCACTTTTCAATAAATATTTTGGGAGAATAGCTAATATGGTCCCTAAAGTTTCGCTCATGTGTCATTTTAGTCCTTAATCTTTCATATTGTTCAAACAAGTCCTTTGAATTTGTCATGTGGGCTAACATAGTCCTTGGTCTCACCAAAATCGCCACATGGACATGCCATGTCACCTTCCTATGCAAAATCTATATGATTTATCCAATTTACCCTTACGCATAGGAAAATAAAAAACAAAAGGAAAATTTTAAAAAAATATATGGTATATGTAAGAGCAAAAATATACCTCAAAAGGGTGAAAAAAGAAGTATTTTTTTCCTATGGTTATGTCTAATTCACCATTATATTTATTTTTCTATGATATATGTAAGGGTAAATTGGACAGTTCATCATAGATTTTGCATGAATGATGACATGGCATATCCATATGATGATTTTGGTGGACCCAAGGACTATTCTAGGCCTTATGACAAAGGTTAAGGATTTCTTTGGACCATTTAAAAGGTTAGGGACTAAACTGATCCTACAGACAAACTTTAGGGACTAAAGTAGCTATTCTCCCAAATATTTTTATAGAAACAAGAAGGCAAAGTTGTGTTTTGGAGACCGTGTCACGGTCTAAAACGACTTTCTTTACGAGTACGGAGGGAGTACGTATACCTACCTAATCTATACCTATATATCTCTACTATTATGAAAATTGAAGATATTTTGCCGATACTTTGGTACGTTTTCCGTGTATGAGTCGGTTTTTAACTTTATTTGCTTTTGGAAATACAAAAGGACTATAAGAAATATCTTTAAAAAAACTCGCATGCTAACTTGGGATGACATGACTCTAAACTGCAGCTCATGATTTTTTTTAAAAAAATATATATCCAAGTGAATTCCCACAGTGAATTTCATATTAACTAAACTACATAACAATAATAAGATTAAAATAGCCTTTATCCGTTGCAACACACTGGCATTTTTTTCTAGTAATAAAAAAATACATAAAGCTTTCGGTATTTTTTTTTCGTTCATTTTTTTCGGCGCCGGTATTTTTTATGATTTTTTTCACGCGAAAGAGTTTTTTTTTGTTTTTTTCTTCCAGTTATTTTCTCCAGTTTTTTTAATCCGATCTGTTTACCGCCAGCCTCCAGGGCTAAACCCTAGCGCCGTGCCACTGCCATATTGATCGTGTGTTTCCTCCTCCATATGATTGCAAGAATCGATTCTCCACTCATCCCTCATCATTTTATCCATGGTTTACCCTTTCGATTCAGTTTTAATTCGTCAGATTTAGTCTCCATTAAAACGTTGCTGATGATGACAGATGAGCAATATTCCCCGGTAGTTTTTAATCCGAGTTTTGCACATTTAAGGAAACCAGTCGATTTTATCCCGAATTTTCTGCATTTCGGAAAAAACTGGAAGAGGAGATCGAGTGGATCACAAGTTAATTTTGGGGAAATCGAGAAATATTATACCAGATTTTATGGGGAAGATTTGCTCCGACACCGCTTTAGGAAGTTAAAGGGAGGAATGAATGAGATTTCGGCTCAAAACCAAGGAAAGATTTTCATTAACTTTTTAAATTATAATGTATAGCAATCTCAATGAAAGAATTTCTATTAATTTTTTAAATTACAATGCATAACGATTCCAATATTTCATTTTATTTCTCAACTCCTAATATATCACTGAAAAAACGTCTTTACTCATTGCAACACACATGCATTTTTTTTCTAGTAATTAAAAAATACGTAAGCCTTCCGCCTTCCCGTCGTCCGTCCAGCCCCTCCCTCACACGCCGCCTCGCCTCCGCTTCCGCCTCTCTCCATCCCTCCCAGCGCCCCCATCTCTCCCCCTCCCCTGCAGCCCCTCTTCTCTCTAGCACCCCTCCTCTCCCGCCTCCCTCCTTCCCTCCTGGCATCCCCCTATCTCTCCCTCACTGCACACACTCCTCCGCCCTCTTATATCTCTTCTCCCTGGCACCCCTCCTCTCTCCTGCGTTCCCTTCCTCTTATGCATTCAAGAAAAAGGGAACCTTCTCATTCGGGAGCACACTTTGACGTGCTCACTCGTCCGTGTTCACCACAAGAGCTCACCGTTGCCGTTTCTCTCTATTCGGACCATGTTGTTATCGGCCACGTTCCCATTGTTCTAGTTTTCTTCGTTGCCAACCGCCGCCATCAATGGATGAGTCACATTATGGGACACGTTTGACCACCTTAGTCACCACCGTTTGGTTGCTGGAGCACCGTCACCCATCTTCTCTCCTCTTCTAATTCTTGTGTTGGCTAGGGAAGACGATGAATAGTATTTGTCAGTTTTTCCCGCGTGTTCAAGGAAAACGGAATCCTCTTGTCCGGGAACGTGTTTTGACGCTCTCATCTGGTCGTGTTCACCAGTAGAGCTTGTCGTTGTCATTTCTCTCTCTATCGGGACCACCTCACTGCCCCCTGTTGACAAAAAATCCGCTCTCGGCTGATGGTGCCGGAACTGTGTTTGCGCGAACTAAGTCAACAACAGCAATGGCCCGGAAGATCTGTTTAGCTCCAGTGCAGGTCCAAAAATTGATGAGATGTAGGCGTGATAGTCAGTTTGATCCTGCAACTGACAAGATATGTAAACAACAGATCAAATAGCCAATCGGCTGACAAGCAGATGGAGTAATTCCAGCTGATGTCGATAGGGCTTTGAGAAATAGGCTATATGTCCAATGTAGATAATGATATAAAAACAATCAGTTGATGGTATTGTAATAGAACATTAATATAATTCAGTAGAAACCAATCGGCCAATAATGATATGATAGAATAAACACTGATATGAAGGTTGAAGCATACATCGGCTGGAGGTCCGATGTCATAAAATCCACAAGATTAGATAAACAAGGAAACCTTTGTTGCGATCGGCTAAAACCAACTTGTATGCAATCCTTGTAAGCAGATGCAATGTTCAGATATATAACTCATCGGTTGAAACCCTGTTGAAACCCTTATAGGCAATCAAAAGCAGGTTAGTTTTTATGCTTCTAAGCATAACTAAGGTCGATAAAACTCGAAGTATGCAAAGAAACACAAAGTCTAAACAATCAAGCCTTTGACTGATTTTAAGAGTGGCGGATACCTCAGTTAATCTAATCTAGCAAGATAATTTAGCCGATATCGGCATAAACCCTAAAACGAATCTCAGTCGTTATAATCAAATTAAGATGCTAAACTAGATTAACTAAGATATAAGATAAATATGTAGACAAATATATCAACCGATCCAAAGCGATCTAAGAGGTCGAAGCAATGCAGTCTTGAATAACACCAATATAGCCGGTATAATTGCCAGGGCCAGCAGAAAGTAGGACTTACCCCTTCGTCGGAGATCGAAAACCGATCCAGCCCCGTGTTAGGTGCCAAGTTCCATCGTGATAAGTAAAATCCTCGGGAAAGAGGGTGTCGATGCGCCGATAGTAGTTTTATTGATCTTTGAGATAGTTTACAATGACCTCGAGTGTACATATTTATACCCATGGGTAGATATGAGTCCTTTTTTGACAAGAAAGAAACTTTCCTAAATTAAAAGGAAAACATTAAGTTCTAATCGGACACTGAACACACTATCCTAATGATAAAACAAAACTAACAAACTCTTCCTAATTAATCGATAAACTGTCATGCCGCATCCTCCT